GCTTACTCTGAATGGCATTACCTTGGTCTCCAGTAACACTGTGGAGTCATTTTTGACTAGGATAAGTCCTTCAATGCACATATTAAACAAATATGTAGAACTGCTTTCTTCCATTTTGCATATTACCTCTAAAATTATGTCTTGATGCATGCTCAATCATCCAGGTAAGGAAATCCCCAAAATTGATTCTGTTCACCATGGACGTAGTGTTCAGTGAGAGAAACTGTCATGTCTGTGTGTAGGCAGGCAGGAAGAGAGGACCCAAAATGCAGGACTCACTGAGGCAGAAGTAACTCAAAACACACAGCTTTATTGCTGGTAAGAAGCAGAACAGAAAAACACTAAGTAAACTGGAAGAACAGAATAACTAGGCAGGAAGGCTGGCTGGCAAACGGAACACACAGAGGAAGCGAGGGTGAACAGACGTTAACGACGCGACACCGAGTAGGGGAAGACACAGACACTAAATACAAGAGGTGAACGGAGCGAAGAGGAAACAGCTAGGAGACACGGCTGACGCTGATTACACTGACGAGACAGGGAGAGCACAAAGCTGAACGCACTGACATAGGACACAGACCTACAAAATAAAACAGGAAGCACACGACAGACAGAGACACAGACTCGTAAACAGGCATAATGACGTCATGGGCAAACAGCGGGACATACGGGCAGAAAAACCCAGATGGTCAAGTTCAGGGGGCCGACCCGGAGGCCGACAGCGCAGGAGGCCAAAACAGTTCAGTTCTGGGGGCCGACCGTGTGGACGGCAACGGCGGAGACGGGCAAACAGTTCTGGGGGCCGGCCACGCGGAAGGCAGTGGCGGCGACAGAGCAGATCCGGGGACCGGCCATGTGGAAGGCAGCGGCAGCGTTCAGGAGGTCATCACCGACGGCAATGACACCCAGCCGGTGGCCTGGAAAGTGGCCGGTGATGTTGAGGAGGCAGTTTGGGACCTGAAGACTGCTTGGCCCCTGCAGCACCAGGCGAGGCAGAGGCTGCAGGCGGCGTGGATGAAGACTCAGAGGCTGCAGGTGGCGTGGATGACAGAAACGTTTCGTCATTCATCCAAGTGACTTCTTCAGTGTCTGTTCACTGCAGGTTTCCCCAACCCTATAAACGGTACTGTTTATAGTCAAAGGAGCTTGCAAAGAACAGCGTCTGGACTTCTTTAAGTTGCTTGAAGACGTTTCACCTCTCATCCGAGAAGCTTCTTCAGTTCTAAGGTCAAATGGTGGAGAGTAACAGATTTAAACCTAGTGGGAGTATCCCCCCCCCCCCTTGTGAGGGGATACTCCCACTAGGTTTAAATCTGGGACTCCCCACCATTTGACCTTAGAACTGAAGAAGCTTCTCGGATGAGAGGTGAAACGTCTTCAAGCAACTTAAAGAAGTCCAGACGCTTTTCTTTGCAAGCTCCTTTGACTACAATGACCTGGATGACTGAGAACCTTCACAGACGGTACAGTTTATAAGGTCATTCAGCTCCTCAGGTAGGGAACCAGTCATCTCCACTGTGCTGTAGCTCTTCCCCTTGAAATGTGTTATGGTTTTTAGCCCACTCCACATGCGCCTGATGTTTGAGACAACGTCAACCACACTGATTCATTTGTGGATGTATCCAGTAAGCAGTTTGTGTGGTCATTTACGTTATTGTTGGCAGCAGTTTGAAAAACCTCCCAGTACATAGTGTGGAAGGAGTGATGCAGGACCTTGTGTGATTAGTTGGTTCAGCATTGAACCCAATCCTTTCATTGTCGCTGGTTGCTCGTGCTTCAGCCTCTGCCTATTGGCTGGTAGCAGCAGGACTGAGGAGTAATCTGATTTGCTGAAAGGTGGGCTTTATAGGCACATGTGAAAGGGGTCTAAAGGTGATCCAGGATGTTATAGCCACTGTAGAACCACTGTTGAAATCAGCCACATATCTCACTGATCTAAACTGCACTACTGTAAATGCTTTATAGGCAATCATTCTGTACAATACAATAATTATAGTTCTTCAACTGTTTATAACATATTTCATATTTCTGTATAGTTTTCATATTTATATCCTGTTCATAGCCTGTACATAGCTTGTACACTCAGTACAGTATAGCATATTCATAACATACCTTCATACCATGTACATACCCATAATAGACCCATTTTTGTAGTATACCTATATATCAATTTTATTGCTAATATATATTTTGTAATATATCTATTGCTAAAGCACTTTCTGGATGGATGCAAACTGCATATCGTTGCCTTGTACTTGTGACATGTGCAATGACAATAAAGTTGAATTCTATTCTAATTCATGTTGGAAAGCTTACATGGCAGAACTTTCTTCAGGCTGGCTTTGTCGCTTTGGGGTGTAGTACTTCTTGCCAGTGGTTGACATCATATAGCTTGGGCAGCACCCACACAGTGTCAGCGTAGGGGGAAAAAATATAAACAGCGGTACAGAACACATTTGATCATGAGGTGTTCAACATCAGGGGAGCACCTTGATGAAACACGCCATTGCTTGTTAGTCATTATAGACACGCCACCTCTCCTCCACTTACCCAACTCCTTTGTCCAGTCCTGACGATGAATGGAGAAGGAAGAATAGCCGATTCAGGGATTGAGGCATCCAACCAAATAAAGACATTGCAGTCCATAATATGCTGTGGAAAGCAGTTCATCCATTTTTTTCCCCAAAATTTGGATGTTAGCTAGAAGAATCTTGGAAAAAGGGGAAACGTGTTGTCTGTTTCTCAGCCTGACCAGAACTCTGGCTCTTTTCTCCCTTTTCCTCCAGCGTTGTTTCTGCTCAGGTATCCAAGTTAAGCCACCAGTGTGGTCCCAGATTATGAATGTTGTAGGATGTCTAAAAGAGTCTGTCTGTCATAGGTGGTTAGTTGTTGCCAAAAAAACTAGAAAATAGCACTTACAACACAAGAAGAATGCAAAATTGAGGAGGACGCTGAGTGGTAGTAGTCATCCTCACTGGCATAATCTTAGTGAGGGTGAAGTCTTCTGACATGGCCCACCAGGAGGAAGCCGACCCAGGAGGTTAATTCTCTCGCTTGATCTGGGAATGCCTTGGTGTTCTCCCTGGATAAGCTATAGGAGGTGGCTGGGGAGAGGGAGGTCTAGGCTTCTATATTTAGGCTACCGCCCCGCGACCAGGCCCTGGAAGAAAATGGATGAATGAATGAATGGATGGATGGATGGATGGATGGATGAATGGATGGATGCATGTTTAAAAAAATATGACACACAAACACACACGCTCCTATAAGCCACTATGACTAGGTAAATTAAGCCAGCATCCAGTTACTTAGCTTGTTATTGGCAGTGATAAGATTGGTGTAATAAAACAGTTATATAAGCCACCCGGTGATATTAAAATCACTCCACTGATAATAAATGCCAATGGTGAAACAAGCTTGGGTCTGCATGTTCGATGTATCAGAGGAGTTTGGAGAAATTTAAAATATTTCCTCAATTATCTGTCAGTCTATCATTATAAAAAAGAGGAGAATTTTGATGTACAGCATATAATGCTTTTGAATAGAAGAACCTTTCCTTTTGATTTGTGATTATTTATATATTTATTGTATTCATGTTTTTTATTAAAGACAAACATTCAAATTGCTGGTAGAAAGGGCAAGAGAATCTTCGATCCCAGTAACTGGTCAAAAGTAAACAACAACAACGGTGTTTAATTTGGGAATTTTGCTTGTGCTTGGATAGCTCTTTTAAAATGATGGGCAAGGAGTACAGAAATCTTGTTCATTTTATTGACTCATCATCTTCTGAATCTTAATAAGGCCAAAGACAAAGAAATGGTGATCAACTTCAGATGGAATGAGGAGGATGTATAAAGGCTATTATTAATTAAACAATTTTCCAAAAAGTTGCAAAATATTTTCCGAAAACCTTTGAATGAAAGTTGAACTTTAACCAAATATTAATTGTTTATATAGCAATAGCAAAAACATTCATAAACTTGAAATGTTGGAATTAGCATTACTATCCCAGAAAAAAACATTCTATGGACAGGCTCTATTTTCCGAGGAAGCTGAGGTCTTTCAACATGTGCCACAAAATTCTTCAGTTTATAGTGAAGAGGATGTTGTATTTTGATGTGGTCAGCTCGGGGAGCATCAGAGCCAGTGACACCTACAGATCAGGAAGGGCAATCACACTGAACTTTTTTGATTGGCTGCAAACTGTGCACCATTAAAACTGTGTCAGAAAGGTCACTGAACATGTCATTATTATTGTTACTCATAGACAATCAAGGCCATCCTACCAATATGTACCAATGCTGCATTACTGAGTATACAGACTTTTAGTACATATACTGTAAGCTACATGTATAAAACCAAAGAATGTAAAAAGCGATTTCTGTAGCTATGAATTTATTTCTTCTTAACATGATTTTTTGTCACATTAAATATCTTGATAAAATATAATGGTAAAATACTTCAAATGAGGCATCTCAAAAACCTACATATAGCATTTTCATGTAGAAAGTGGCATCCTGCTTTTAAAAAATGTCCTTGACCGTAGATATATGGATTAATGAATTGAATAACTATATCCAATTAAGATGAGGCGAGTATAAATGGTGCTGCCACTCGTAGGTTTATAAGGAACACAGCAATAATAGATCATTATTATTATTATTTATTTTCATTATTATTTCTGTCTGGCTAGTTTGTCAGCTAAATACCTTTCTGTTTTATACTCAGTGAACATTTCTAGGACAAATTTCAGTGAAGTATTTTTCAAGCTTTAAGCTGAATGTGATAGCATAGACACAGATAAATACTGTAAAGAGTCTCAAACAAAGTGATGTATTTCCAAAACGTAATCACATCTATAATGATATGCATAAAAAAATAAATTCTAGTGGATTCCTACATGTGGTGAAATCTTGTGCTAAGTTTGCAACAATATTGTTCTTTTTTTAAGCTATATGTTGTATGTACTGAGGCCAGTATTAAACTCTGTTTCAGGCACCATGGCTGTTGGATTGAGGCCAGTGATTTTGCTGCTTTTGCTGCTCTGCTGTTGGCAACTTGCCTCAAGTAAAGAAGGAAAATCCACAAAGAAAGGAAAAAAAGGAAAGCAAGTTGTCTGTCCATCGTGAGTAA